TCTTGGCATTGCTGCTTGCATGGCTGTGAGCAATAGGGATGATGAAGACAACACTTAAAAGAAGTACAGCAAATTTGGGTCTGAAAGTTGTAAATTAAACAGGAAAAAGCCTGTAGCCAGAAGAAAGCATGCAAACTACCTATATTTTCTACTAGAAAGGGGTCTCATCACCACTGTCACTCACACAGAAAGGATAAGAAACCAAAAGTTGTGCTCTACAGCCCATACATTCCTTTCACACCAGGAACTGACAGACACAGGAGGCCCATCACTTAGTAGCTTACAAAAAATGTCACTACCAGCTACCCGAGCACAACAGCCTGCACTCAAGACAACAGGTGGGACAGTGTCAAGTCAATAATCTTGACATGGCTGGAAGGGTTTTGACCCACCTCAACTCACACCCTGACCCATTTCCTCTGTTCTGCTTTCTTCCTTCTAATTTTCATAAATAGCTGTAGGAAGAAGTGTGATACCAAGCTGTCTCATAGACCTGAAACAAAATCTTATTTGATTCCCTTTCCTTACCTATTCATATGTAATGTTCCTAATTTGTTCCTTAAAAGAAGAGATAGTTATTGGTTAGGCAATAGTAGATACCAAAGATTGTAGTATTTGATAGGAGGGAGGATATTTTCAAATGGGTAAGGACTCAAAAATTTCCAAAGTTCCCATTATTTCCAAAACTGGTGACACCCTTGCATACTGAATTGCTATCTCAGGAGCAGAGTATTGATTTTCAGTGTAAGTCTTTTATGGTACAATATCTCTATCCATGTGCTCTGTTCAGGTGGATGGCCAAGGGCTGTGTGACAACACCAAGAAAGCAGTATTTTCTTCATAACAGAAACAACTGGAAATGAGAGAGACAGGATCAGATGGCAGGACATACTGTAGCTACAAGGAAAATAAGAGCAAACACAACACTTGGCAGTTTGGTGGAGGAGAAGGGATATGAAGAATAGCAGAAATGGAAAAGAGATATCCATATGGACAGCAGTGCTAGAACTTCAATGAAATCACATCTGTGCCTTTCTGGACTTTAAAGGTGAATTTAAGACACTGTCTCACACCGGGCTATTTCTGAAGACAAGAGCTTTGGCTGGGATTTACCTCATTAGACTCTAAACAAATCCATAACCAGACTGATTTTATCTCTTCCTAAGGCAGATGAGTAAAATAAGTGAACTACTCACAAGAAGCACTTCTTTTCCCTAGATGCAACAAAAGGAGCCTAAACAAACAGCTAAGATTTAGATGTTGGAATTTAAGAGACGCTAATACTTCAACAGATGTCTACTGGTCAAGGTGATCAAGAAAGGCAGCCAAAAGCAGCAACAGCTAACAGATGGTAAAGATAATAATAGGAAACTTTAGCAAGTTCAGAGGCAAGAGGGTGTAAAGACTTGAGTATAAAGTCTAATGAGGAACAGAGGAACAGAAGCAGCGCATCTAGATTTCTAAACAGATACCCATTCCTGAATGATGAAATTGCCCTAGGAAAGCAGGTTTGGGTAGAAGGACCAAAGCAGAGCTAGGAAAATCAATGTCTTTTTGAACTTTTATACTAGAAAGAACACCTTGTGCAGGATTTAGTCCAGTTTCTTGGTGAATTATGATGGATATGGGACTAATACTATGGGGCCTTCATGGAGTCCTGGATTGCCTAAAGGATTACACTTCAGTCTGATTCTTCTGAATCCATAAACTGTATTGGATAAAGTCAGCCCTGATGTTCATTGATCCTAAATACTGGTGGGTAATGCTTTGCTTTCACTGACTCCACAGGTAAAGTCAGGAACCTAGAAGCCTGAAGACATCCTCACCAGTAAAACAAAGCTTACAAAAAGACAGTGAGTGCCTTAGCCCTTTCTGTATCTTTTTTGATTTCCTGCCCCACTGAGCCCGAAGCAGGTAGCTTTCTTTGCTTTCCTTTCAGTGCCAAGTAAAATGCCATAGTACTGATCACTATGATAGGCAGAGCTGCACATGAATTTACCCCATAGACAGATAAGCAAATATTTTAGACACAGTTGTTCTCTGAAGAGTAACTATTTTCATCTACATGTTAATGTATGCTTTAACCTACATGTTTTTATACTCACTCTGCATGTCTATGTTTGTATGTTTAATCTACATGCTTTAATCTACATATTAATGTATGCAATAGTAATGTTTCCATTTAAGAGATGGGATTGTGCTTATTTTGCCTGTTAGTAAGACTGACAGTCCATTTTTTGTTAGATAAAACCAGGTGTTATAACTCTTGTATTCCACGGATACATAAAAGACCTCATTTAACTTACAAAAGTGTTTCGTATTCATCTTGACATATTCAGGGAACAACTCTAATTTATAGATTATTACAGATGAAAGGGACGATCATGTGCAGTCTGACCTCCTGACCAACATAAGTACAAAATTATTCTTGATAATACCAGTATCTCATCTATATCTTGTACAAAAGTTGCAGCATTTTTCCTGCTCTAGAGAGCCATCAGTCTTGATTTATGAGACACAATATTCCCACACCAGAACCAGGAAGTTGCTCAAGTGCTCAGTTACCATCACCCAATGTACTTGATCTCTAGAATGTATGCATTTATCTTCTGTTTGCAGTGTCATGTTTTAATATGAAACCTTTCCCTGGCTTCTAGGGCCCAGAGCAAGTGGCAAGGCTTGTGGATAATAAATGACTTGAATTGCTTTTTCCCTACTAAAGTAAAAAATGAATCCCCACAATGCTATTAGCTATTCCTTAGCCAAAAAAAGAACCCCATACAGACAAACAAATAAGAAATGAAATAACATGCTAGCTCAGCTACATCAGCTATGTTACACTTGTGTAATAAAGAGAGGGGGAAGGAAAGAATTCTCAAGATCAACCTCACCTTTTTCTGCTTTTTCCACAAACTCTAAACACTGCGGCAGCTGAAATGCTTTAGGAGAGTATCCAAACACAAGGTGATGCTGAAGCCTCAGACTAAGAAAAACTATGCATTTGTGTACCTCTAAACAGTAAGTACCTCAAGAAGTTCTCTACAAAACCCTGCTGGTAGCTATAGCAACAGAGTTCACTGTATTTTTACCAGAAAGCATTTTTTAAAGCTACTGAAGAAAGTACATTTTTCAGCCATTATTTCCCTATCTAACTTCCAGGCCTTTTGACGCAATCCTGATCTTCATTCAGCTTCCACCCTTCTGCTGCCACTTTGCATGCATGGCATGCGAGTTGCTGGGGTGACTCCCAAATTCAGGGAAGGAATTTTCGCTCTAAAACCCAGCCGGCTTCGATCTGTGCTGCTGAACTGTGGCTTTCATTTTGCCATGCCGGCACAAACACTTACATCTCTCAGGCAAATTGGGCATCTGAGAATTACACTTAAAAGCAATAACTGGTGTAAATCCCAAACCACTCAGATTTATGGGAAAAGAAATAATCTCTAAGAACCCTAAACTGTTAGATCTGGAGAAATATTTGCTGTGTGAGAAATCTGGTCTTGCTGCATTTACTTACTAGCAAGAGCTGTAAAGCAACAACATTTCAACACTGCTTGGGATATGAAAGCTTTAGAGAGCCACTGTACTTAGCTCATAAATTACACCTTTCCATGGCACAGATTTCTGTATATGTTTGGCATCATACAGTACAATAGCCATGTTTGACATTTACCTGTTGAAAGGGATTTTCCAACCCCCTGTGGAAATATCTATGTGAGTCCAGATGATAGAGCTGCTGCTTTCCTGTATTAATATCAACCACCTGAGCAGAAGACTGCTGTGGGCTTAACCCCTCTCTGGTGCTCCTATCTGCATTGAACCCTAGCTTTGACTCTCAGGTCCAAGAGATAAGTGTTCTAGCTCTTATGAGCTGCATGGAACAGATAAAATATTGGAAGCATGATATAGGTCTTTAGTCTTGATACAGACCTTCCACTTCTGAAGTCTGTGGAAGAGTGTTTGTCAGAACAAATGGCAAAGCATATCTGCTCTTGCACCCCTTCTCACTGACAACAGACCACTTTTTGCTTTTCCACACCACTGCATTAGTGTGATGTAGTGATTCATTTATTCACATGTAGCAGCTTGTCTAATTTGGCGATGACTTCACTATCAAGAGTTCACCAAAACCCACACAAAAATCCGTCACAGCATGCGATTAGATTTCTTCTAAAAGCTTTGCTTTGGAAGAGTTCTTATAAAAGGTGGTCCATTACTTTTATAAAGCATTCAGTTATATCCACAGAAATGACACCGGATAGCCATGAGACCACTGTTTTACCTGGTTTTGCATACCTCACAGGTGAAGTCCCTGTAAGGTTGAATGCATTAGAAGACAAAAAAAATGTTAAAACCTATAATAAAGGTTTTAGCATTGGGACTTTTGATGTCCCCCTTAAGCTAGAACAAAGGTATCTGCAATTCAATGTAACAGAAATACTAACTTTCTGTCACACATTGCTGTGATGTTATCACTAATATTATTCAACATTCCAATATATTAAAGAATTATGATACCTGGAAAATATTCACAAGTTGTCATCTTGTTCCTAATAACATCCTAGAGGCAAAAAGATTTCTCTTCCCCACATACCAATGTAAACAGTGTCAGCTTTATGAATCCTGCTTGTGAATTACATCAGGAGGGCTCAGTTTCATTGGCAACAATTCAAGAACAGGAAAGTCAGGACGGTGAAATGGCTTCAAAGGAACATGAGTTATTGGAAAGATCATGCAAGTGCAGGCTAAGTATTCAACCTTAACACATTTCAGTTTCATCACATTCCAAATAGCAGGAATCAATTATTTTTTTGTAGCAGCAAATGTCTGGTATCTCAGAGCCTGACTCCATCCTGATGTGCAGCTGCAGCTCTATGTACTTGTGTTACTCAAAAAGACAAATCAAAACCAACACCAAAACAAACCCAAGGCCCTGTGGAACTACAGAAGTGCAAAGCATGAATAAAGCTGCACAGACCCTGATGCTGAGGCTCACCCACCTTTCTGCAGAGGACAGGCTCTTGAAATAAATGTTACCAAAGCATTTAAATCCATTCAACAGTTAGTATGTCAACTCTTAATGAGAGACTTCCCTTCAACCACAGGTTATAAATAGGAGCATTGCCTTTGCCTAGTGTGAATCTCACAGCGAAGGGAGCATTCCTAGTGGAAATGCAAAGATTTATTCTAGGATTGGATTTTGTTATCCCATTTCTCATCTCAGGAAAAGAATGAGAGGAGGCAAAAGTGGTTTTCCCATCACATGGCTCTCAGCCACATTAAGACCTACCTTATTTGTGAGTTCTGTCCCATGCAGAGGAATGCATTTCTGCAGGCTACAGCCCTGCAAGAAAACAGGCAGGGACTGGCAGGATGTGGGCAGAACTTGGGATCTACTCTACCCCTCCCAGGGACCAAAGTAGCCTCACAGCCACCACAAATGCAGAAGAGAAGGACGGTAACGAAGGGCTATCCCTGCTGCGGTGCCTCCCATGATTACTGCTTGGGCAGCGTCTGCCTTCACCTCCTGCCTGGCCCAGGGCAGCACACAGGAACTTCTTAACATCCCTTTTATCTGCAGACAGACACACCAATCTCTGTGCTGGTCCCAGTATCGGGAATACACCAGTATTTACAGATACCCATTTAATTAAATTTGCTATCTGGCAATCAGAGGTCAGTGGCTTTTACGCTGTGACTTGAATTATTTCCTGGTGCCATCGCTAGAAAGGCTATTGCCACCTGCTTTTGCTATAGAGAGCAGCCTGAGTGCATTAGTTTTCCGTTACTTGTCATGTACATATTTTAAAAACAGATTTTTCACCATTTTAAACATACATATTTTGACAATTATTGAAAGCAATTTACAAGTCCTGCATTTTTAGTACTTCAAGTGTTCCTACTGAACTCATCACATCATTGGAAGCCATCGCAGAGATTTTGGGTTTAAAATATCACACCCTGAATGATGTGAATCAGAAGTGACCTCAGCCTTTGTTATCTCTGCTGATTTAGTAACACAGCCTGCAGAAAGATCAACGTTCAAACAATCCCACTGGTATCTCAGCACACCTCTTAGTGGATTAAAGCACTCCATATTTTTTTATTGGGATGACAGAATCTGCCCCTAAATAAAGACACCATGGTAGGAACCTCAATAAATTGGGAGTCATTTTCCACTTAAGCCTGTGTAACAATAAACATGCTGCTGAAGCCTTAAATCATAGAATCATAGAATAGTTAGAGTTGGAAAGGACCTTAAGATCACTAAACCATGTCACCCAAGGCTCTGCCCAGCCTGGCCTTGAATACTGCCAGGGATGGAGCATTCACAACTTCCCTGATAATCATGGCTAGTGACAAAGCCCTTCTTAGACCTCATGGATTTGTTCCCAGAAAACACTAAACCTACAGGAAGGATTGCATTCATTTTCCTATCTCTATTTCACACTCTGTTCAGACATTGTTTAAACCATATCCTAAAGAATTGATTTTTAGTTCAAGAAAGCATCAACGTGAACAAGGTCAGAGGCTTTTCCCAAAGACAGACAACGATGGAACCTGGAAAAGACATCTATATCTGAAGTATAGAGTTGGATATAAAGTAATCCCTGAGTTCCCATTCATTCAGAAAATCTAGTTATTTTCATTCTACTAACTTTCCTTGTTAAAAGTTTGGGATCTCACAGTCTGCAACATAGAAATGGGCACTGAGAGATGCAAGCTGCTGGTTTTATACATGGCATCAAAGGAAGCAGGATTCATTAAGATGCATTTTCAAATGCATCTTAAAATATTCACTTCAGTGGCACCATTGATGGAAGATTTAAGTGTTTCAAATGTCAGGCTACTTTTTTTATGTAATAACATATGGGTACCCTATTTCTTCTTTCTCCTAGAAAACGATAGCACAACCCATTCAAAATCTGCCCCCAGTATCTAATACTTGACAACCTCCTTTTGCAAATAATAGCCTTTAATTCCCATTCTTACCACTTTTGTTGTGGCACATAACAGAGTGATTTTGTACCCCAGGGGATGAAATCCATAGCCTTTTGTGATTCAGTTTGACATCTTCAAGAAGGCCATAAGCTTGTCTTTTTATGATAAATCATGAGCTAGAAAGGACCATCTCCAGTAAAATACAAGACTGCACAATTCTTAGGACTGAAGGACAGTGCTGTTTCGATGTGAATCAAGTGGTTTTTAAAAGGACAAAACAAGCCCAATAATCACCCATACATGTAGGAAGAAAGCTCTGCCCTTGGCAGTAGGCAATGCACTTGAAACTGCGAGAGAAGCATTAACTGCTGAGAAATGACTCTTTAAAACCCAGTAAGACAATATGGATCTAGTGTAAAACCTGTGGGACCCTCCTGGTCACTCCTTTACTGCTCAGGAGTCTGAGTGCTGCTCTTGGCATTGTCACATTCCCAAGCAATCTAAGAACCTATGGAGCAGATGTTTTCAGGAAGAAAGGTGAGTTAGTCAGTGAATAAACCCAGGCAGATGGTGGGACAAATAGGGGTAGGTTGGACAAATCCATTTCCCAAATCTTCTATTAGCTTGCTTTAGTCTCCTGAATTGTAACTGTGTGGACCCTTGCCTCAGATCTCGTTTCAGTCATGGTCCCTGTTACAGCACCTGGGGGATTATTTGCAGGGAGCAGTTTAAAGTCAGGCTCTGCCCTATAGAGATACCCATGGTTTACCTGCAGTAGTTCCTCCAAGGTTCTCCATCCTGAGTGAGCCTTTGAAAGCGTTAAAATAAAATGACCCCTCATCTGATCTTCGGGGTGCCACCATCCCCGCAAGTCTTTCATCGAGATATGTCTCCCAGCAATATTCTGTTTATGAACTGAGTTAGAAACTGGTCCTGGAGGGATTAGAAAAGGGTTATAACCAGGCTCTTCACCCATCACCTGGTGTTTAAAATGCCAGTTTTTAAGTCAGGGTCTTGGACACGGAAGGTTTTGCATCAGTTTACTGCAACAGAGTGGGAATTACAGTCAGTCCAGCAGTCCAAGTGTTGTACCAAAAGGAAAACTTTCCTCTCCCATATTATCTGTGCTGTGACAGGAGCAAAGGGTGCCCTGTTTACCAGGCAAGATCCTTGTGCTGAAAGGGTTTACAATCTAACAGAGAGGATTTCACAAATCCCCTGAGTACACAGCCATAGAAGATTTTAAAGGAGTTAATAGCCTCCTCACACTTCCCATTCTTCTGAAGAGTAGCGAAGGAGAACAACTCTCCTATCAGCTTCACAGCCATCCAATACAGCATCATGTCATAGAATAGAAAAGGGATTATCACTTATCATCTGAGCAGGCAAACATGTTAGCTAAACAAGAAGAGCTGGTAATGAGGCAGAAAAGTTGTATGCACAATGGCATGGTTCCTCCCACCCAGGCATGGATCAGGAGTATGCGTAATAATGTAATTTAATTGAGAGGCTACATAGATAATCCATGCTCTGCAGAGCCTCGTAAAGAAAAACCAGAATTTATAAACATTATCCCATTGATAACAGGAATAGTGAAATTATCACTTAAGTGTCTGTTTCACAGGAAGTTGTCACCATGTTCTGGGAATTATTTTTGCTGAATGGTTTAAATGCAAGAGAAACACTGTCTTCATGTCAGTATTGTCTTAAATTGGCTACAAGGGGTAACTAAATCAACACAAAGGATAGTATTCCCCAAAGCCAGTGTAATCCATCCTCTTGCATGGGCCCTGGAGAAGAGCATTCTTAAGATACTGTGCCTTCCAACAGTCTGATACTTCCTATATCATCCATACATAGAACATAGAACCATAGAACAGTTAGGGCTGGAAAGGACCTTAAGATCATCTAGTTCCAAACCCCCTGCCATAGGCAGGGACACCTCACACCAAACCATATCACCCAAGGCTTCATCCAACCTGGCCTTGAACACTGCCAGGGATGGAGCATTCACAGCTTCTTTGGGCAACCTATTCCAGTGCCTCACTACCCTAACAGGAAAGAATTTCCTCCTTATATCCAATCTAAACTTCCCCTGTTTAAGTTTTAACCCATTACCCCTTGTCCTGTCACTGCAGTCCCTAATGAAGAGTCCCTCCCCAGCATCCCTATAGGCCCCCTTCAGATACTGGAAGCTGCTCTGAGGTCTCCACGCAGCCTTCTCTTCTCCAGGCTGAACAGCCACAACTTTCTCAGCCTGTCTCCATACAGGAGGTGCTCCAGCCCCTGATCATCCTCATGGCCTCCTCTGGACTTGTTCCAACAGTTCCATGTCCTTTTTATGTTGAGGACACCAGAACTGCACACAATACTCCAGGTAAATGATGGAGCGCTTAGGTACATGACATCACTGTCTCACTGCATATGTCCTGAAAGATCCTAGATCTGATACCTGGAATAAAATTGGCACATTGGCCTGCTGCAACTATTGCAGACCCTCCCATTCACTCTAATCACTAGTTTTAATCAATACAGAACTTTTCTGCAGTGCTAATTTATTGAGAGATATGCCACTGACTCTTGGTCAACAGCCATGATCCCCCCCAGCAATCCTGTGGGGACTGCAGTCTTCATAGTTAACTCTACTGAGTGATGCTCTGAGGACTTATTGATATTATGGTGATTCATCTGACCAAATACAGAGATTTACAGTGTGTTTGTATCTGAATAAACCACCTACCAGCCCTTTACAATCCATAGAGAGGAACAGACTCTTGTTGGCATGCAGCTAAGGGGATAAACAGCAGTGGTTAACATAAAATTGTTCCTCCTTATTTTTGGTGGTTTGCTTGGGGTTCTATTTCTTATGAATCTCGAAGACCTACAAAGCTGCCAGGAACTCCTCCAACTTGGGATACAGACTTCCCAAAACTCATTGTACCTACAAGCTCCCTCTGTGGCTTCCTTGTCTGGCTAGGACCTACCTTATGGGTTATTACCTTCAAAACTTATCTCTTTTTGAGACAGACAGGGAGCATGGAAATGACAAGAAATGGAAGTAAGGGTAAATAGTTTTAGGCTGTATATCATAGCAGTGGAATCTGGGATAAGGGTACTTTATATTCTTCATCTGTTTTGCTGTGTGCTATCAGTCTTAGCTCAGCAACTGCTGAAGGGAAGACAATTCCTCTTTATACACAGCTTGATCAGATGATGCCCTGGAAAGCAACATTTCTCCAACTTCTTCCCTGTGTCAAAACATCTAAAATTAGTACTTAATGTTATAGCCCACTCATAAATGCCACAGACCTCCTGGGGTCATGGCCCATAATCTGGGAACAGCTACTAAGGCATGTTAAGGGAAAAAGGATGTTAAGGGAAGAAAACATGACAATAGAGATACCTACTGAAAAGGAAACAAAAAGTCAAAGGCAGCAATAAAAAAGGCTGAACAGGGAATTAAAAAGGAGAAAAAGAAACTACTCAGAAATACACAAATAACTTGACTGAAGAAAAAAAAACAAAACCAAAAACAGAACAGAAAATGCACTCAGTAATAAACCCAGGCGATGGCAAAGAAAGAAGCAAAAATAAACCCAGGTGTAAACTGTTTTAATTCCAGAAATCAATCATAAAAGCAGTTACCTGTATATAATCAAGAAAAGCCTCCAGAAAAAAACATAAAAAACACTCTTAGAAATACTCTAGAGGTGGTACCATAATTAAACAGCAAAACAGGATGGGGGAAATTGCCTTGAAACAACTCAAGCACAAGATGGCTTATGAAATGTCAGACTTGAACAAAGGTTGTCAACCCATCTGTTAGGAGTGAGTAATTCTCTCCTGCCTTAGCCCAGCCCAGAGCAGTCAGGCAGTTTTATTACCTGTGCTAAAGTATTGTCCTTTGCAACACAAATGATTGTTTTGCTTTGTTCCTGCTGCAGGAATGTGAGTCTCTGGTCATGCAGAGCTACATCATGAGGTCTCACGTTCAGACTGAGAGTATTGTGGGCTGTGATACAACAGATCATTGAAATGAAGCAGATTTGAGCTTTGGCAGTGCTCACGCAGGAGCAGATGAATTTCAGGTGCTACAGAAGGGCTGTGCCTTGCTGCCTCCTAGCAGGTAATGAATTAATTTACCAGTGAGGAGTTAAAACCACTGGGCCTGACCACCCTGCTTAGATCAAGTGAATGGGATTTGCTGAAGATGTTTAGGTATATTTTGCACCCTTTTCTTATCAAGTACTACAATGGTGTGAAAACCACGCATTCCTTTGCATTTCAATCTCTCATTCACAGGTGGAAGAACTGACTGTGCACAGATTCAGTGACTTGCTGATGGCTGTGCAGCACATCTGCCAGAGAACATCTTCTGTCCATAGCCCCTGACTACAGTCCAGTGGGCTTCTTAACTGCAACGTTAAGGCAAAATCCTTGACTTCACCTGTAATTTATTGACCCCTGATGAAGCCTGATGGGACTTCCACTGAAAGGGAATCACAAAACATTCTGCAGCAATTGGAATAAGCCATAAGGAAAACACCAGTAAAATGAAGTGCATGATGGAAGAAAATAACAGGGTGAGTTTCTGTCCAAATATGGCTTGATAGTTTCTTAATATGTTCATTTTCCTGCTCTTTTCCTATTCTACCTACATTTGCTACAGGGATTTCAAAATATATCCCCAATTTCTCAGTTTCAGTTCAGTGATTTCTATAGATGATTTCTCCCTCTTTCCTCAATCTCAAAACTTGAGCTCTCATGTTGCAAAACTTCTTTGTAACAGTTGGTAGTGCTCAATACAAAGTGATTCATCAGGGTATCTCACTTTACTGTGGAGAAAAATGGTTCTACCACTGAATTGGATAACAGGTTGCAGGGATGCTGAGTGCAAGTGCTTTGACATGGGTACCAGCTGTTGCTTCATTTCTAAGAACTGCAGTGGTAATCAAGACAGCCCATGCAGATTATCTGTAACTTTTATCTGCTGATGAAATTGTAATTACTGAAGTTCTGTTGTACAAATGTAGTTAGTTTTAGACTAAATGTGAAGCCAACAGAAATCCCTCCTGGTGCCCTCAGCAATAAAATTTCCAGCTCAAAGAAAATCTTTGCAATTGATATGCAGAGTAATTCTTCTTACAGCAATCAATATAAACCTGGTTTCTCTGGAAAGAAATACTGGATGCTGCCAATAGGCACATAATTCAACATGGCTTAGCAAACAGCACTGCAGAAATTGCACTTGGATAATAAGCAATTAAGCCACAACTGAGTGCTGGCTAAGCTTAGATCAAAGAGCATGAGTCCAAACCAGTTGAAAACTACCAATGGTTTAAACATCCCCTCAAATGCCATGTGAAATATGTCATTTTTGCCATTTTTTATTAAAAACACTGAAGAATCAACATTTAGGAAGTAACAATAATCAAATCGACTGTTTAAACTGAACTCAAGGGATTCTCCTATTTTTCAAAGAATCAAAGATTAATTTCTAAGGAACTGAATCAGTGCAAAGTAAATAGATTCTGATAAGCTGAGGAAGGATCATTTACATCTACTGCATAGCAGATAAGCTCTGTGATAGCAGTATCCCCTGAGCAAAGGAAATCCAGACAACTGCATAATCATGACTGACAGTACTTGCAAAATATGACCCATAACTCAATTTCATTCATGCCTAATGAATTGCCAAGGCTAGCACAGGTTGGAGAAGCTTTCTGACACAGGTTTTCAATGTTTTTGGCCAGCTCTACAGCCATGTATACCCTGGTGTGGGATTTGTGACTCCTCAGTGCGCTCTCAGGATGGGCTGCTGCTTATTTCTATAGCACGAGAGCTTGTGAGCAAGTGCCAGGGCTCACAGTGTCCTCTCTTTAGTGTTAAATTGTCTCCATGCTGGTGAAGAAACACTGTTGAAGTCTTTTAAGAGTTTTTATATGGTTTTATAGGAAGAAGCCTTTTAAAGTCAAAATACTCCCAGAAATCTCAGGCTCTTGTTTGTCACTACACAAAGACACCAGGTATTTGCTATGAAAACCCCAATGTAATGAAGAATAGCAACTCAGCCTGCTTTCATTCTTCCAAAGCACAAAAAATCTTTGGGTTTAGCTTGTTTCTAGCAGCAAAAGGAAACAAAAGCTACCTCACTACTTGCATCACCTGTGATATGAAATGAATTTTCCATACCGTAACATACCTGTTGCATATCAATAATGTTTGATTGGGGGGGTTGTTAGTTTTTGTCCCCACTCCAAATTAAATCTCTAATCTATACCACAGTTCCTGGCAGATGATGTACCCACCATCTCTCCTACTACTGCCAATCTTGAACCCATCTTCCTCAAGGCAATAATACTGTGTCCATACTTGTTCCTTGTTGGATGGAGCAAGGATATCTGATTATATCCTATTAAGTATCTGATGGATATTTAATCTTCATAGACCTTTTGGTAATGCTCAAAAATAAAAATTATTAGCCATCGCGCCCCTCCCATCCTCATATTCAGACTAGGAATGAATGAGCAAATGTGGGTGTTTAGCCCGGAGAAGAGAAGGCTCAGGGGTACATTGCTGCTCTCTACAGCTGCCTGAAAGGAGATTGTAGTGAGATGGGGTCGGTCTTTTCTCCCAAGTAGCAAGTGATAGGACAAGAGGAAACAGCCTCAAGTTGTACCTGGGGAAAGATTGGGCATTAGAGAAATTTCTTCCCTGGAGAGTGGTCAGGCATTGGAACAGGCTGCCCAAGGCAGTGGTGGAGTCATCATCTCTGGAGGTATTTGAAAAGCAGGTGGATGTGGTGCTTAGGGACATGGTTTAGTGGTGGGCACTGTTAGAGAAACAGCTGGACTCCATGATTTTAAAACTCTTTTTAAACCTAAATGGTTCTCTGATTCTGTACTTCCCAAAAATTGGATCCAGCCAGTCTCTCCTTGCAACTCAAACTCTGGAAATGTTACCTATCACTATAGCATATATTACTCAATTAAGAAGAAATCAGAATGTTTTCAACTAATAAAAACATTTATTTTTTTTCTTTTAAGATCTCAAGGTCACAACTGATGTAAATTCTCCTTCTAATATTATCTCTCATTCACAAGTGGAAGAACTGACTGTGCACAGGTTCAGTGACTTGCTAAAGGCTGTGCAGCACATCTGCCAGAGAACATCCTCTGTCCACAGCCACTGACTATAGCCCAATGAGGTTTTTAGCTGTAATGTTAAGAAAAAATGCTTAACTTCACTTGTAATTTACTGACCCTTGGTGATGGGACTTCCATTGAAGGGGATCACAAAACCTTCAGCAGAAACTCGAACAAGCCATTAGGAAAACACCAGTAAAATAAAGAGTATGGTGGAGTAAAATAACAGGATGAGTTTGTGTCCAAGTAAGACCTGATAGTTTCCTGTCCTACTTACATGTGCTACAAGGATTTCAAAATATGTCCCAAATTCCTGTTACAGTTCAGTGATTTCTGTAGATGCTTTCTCCCCTTTTCCTCATTCCCAAAACTTGAGCTCCCATGTTCCAAAACTTCTTTGTAACAGCTGGTAGTGCTCAATACAGAGTGAACAGTATTCAATAAGGACCCAGCAACTTTAGACTCATTCCACTACAGAAAGACCTGCAGGAATGGCTCCTCTCTGAAGAGCTGGTTGTAAAGGCAGAAATGCACTGCCACATCTTCCTCACTAGGGAAAACAGCTGGAAAGGCTGGGAGGGGATATTTCAGTGTCATGGGGGACAAGTTTATCTAAGAAAGACTGGGGAATTTGGCATTGTCTGAAATACTGAAATAGCCCAATATCACCTGTATTATTCACAGATGGTGGTACATACAAATCATTGATACAATGCAAGGGTTTTGTTAAAGGTTTCACTCCTCACTATGAGAAAGAGTTTAAGAATAGTTTTTAGAAAGGAGGTATTGCCCCATCTAGCAGTGATTAATCAAAACAGGTTTTAGAAGGAAGGGTTGGGAATGACAAATTGAAATATTCTTTCAATCCAATGTAATTACTGAGTGAATCTCAGAAACCTATTTTCACAAGAAAGTTATCACGTGCTGGAAACAAAAGTGTTCTTTTATTCATGTTATTTTGAGTATCATAATCTCCAGAATCAAAAGCTAGCTCTGGCATGTAGCAAGGATGTTTGCCCTAAAACTGCACGAAATGTCAGCAGAAGTAAGAAAAGACTTATATGTATGTACAGGTGCTTCAGACACACTCACCCACATGTTGTCTGGGTCTCTGAGCTCAGGAAAAGATTCCCACAGACCACAGGAACAAACTAATTCTTCCACCTCTAAATCCTCCTCCGTTGGGTCCCCACTGGGGACCTTGTTCTTCCACCATACTAACATGAGTCATATTCATGAGTCACACTGATGCTTCCCCCACAATAAGTCCTTCATCCGATATGCTATTCCAACCCATACCCTCTTCTCATTCATGGCATTGGTCTTACTCATATTTGAAAGAATAGTATTTACATCAGTAAAACAAGAAAGATTTGGCCCCAGGCTTATCCCAGAAGAGAGTGGTACCATTATCTGCTCTTTTGGAAGTCAGAAGACCTGGTTTCTTCCCTTTGCTTTCCAGTGTGTCGAGGACTGCCCTGGAATGATTTTACACAAAAGCAGATGATATTCATCACTAGGCAGGCTGCCAGTTTCTAAGTTCAGAATGGGACTTCTAAATTCTCCAAGCCTCAGTTTCACCAGAAAGGACCCCAAAACAGCTCTTTGCCTCTTCTTAGAAGCAACAGCAACACAACACATGTACTGAAAATAACAATACACACTCAGAACTTTCTTTGTAATAATATTCCACAAACAAACACTTCTCTGATGCAAATTCTAATATGTGTACTTGATATGTCTTACTAGAAGTTACTTCAGAGCACTGTCACATCTGCATACAGAGAGCATAGCCATTGTATAGAATCATAGAATAGAATCATAGAACAGTTAGGGTTGGAAAGGACCTTAAGATTACCCAGTTCCAACCCCCCTGCCATGGGCAGGGACACCTCCCACAAAACCATGTCACCCAAGGCTCTATCCAACCTGGCCTTGAACTCCACTGAAGCATCACACTGGAAAATATGCATGATGGTAGGATTGAAACTTCAGTAAAAAGTACTAAATGCTTACTCTTAAAAAAAAAAACAAAAAAAAAACCTTTTGAAGCAAAATACACCTTACAATCACCTGCCCAACCTATTTGAGAAACTGCTCCTACTATTTTATCAGTGGGTATTTATTCTTCAGTGTTTACACAAACTCCCCCGAATCAGATGTCTAAACAGGCATCCATCAAAGAAAAAGGGGAGAGATTCAGGCACTCATCTAGAGTGATCCTAGGTGCAAATTAAGCACACAGCTACACCAATAGATTTTGCAGGTGTGTTTTCCTGAGAATGGCTCCATCAGTGTCCACACTGCACAGATGGGCTGTGTTATTTTAAGGTCTTAATCAAAATCAGTGCAAACAGGCAGAGCACTGCATGCATGCTAATGCCTGTGGAACATCAGCTGGGAAGCAGTCAGTACACTTGCTTTAAGAACATCAGATATGTAAAAAACACAGAAGTGAAGGAACTGCTGAATTGGGCAGCTTAGAGGAAGATACAGGCTATAGCTATAAAGTGGTGCACAGTACATTCGTGATGCATATGAAATGAAGGAAACATCCTGCTAACATCCATGGTGGTCCTGCATCCCAATAGTGTCACACAGAGTACAAGAAGGTGTTAGGTCATCAAAATCCCAATCAGAACCAGCCCTGAAAACAGTAATTATAATGTAGACATCTGTAAACCTCTTGTCAGCTCTGAACTTTTACAATGGCTTTCCTCAGTGAAGGCATTATGCATTCCTCAGTCGCTGCTTCATCATCCGCAGTGAAGGCACTTTGCATCTGCTAATCACAACTCGAGGGCTGAACCTGACCTGATTCAGATGACACCTAGCCAAATATGCGGTCTGAAAACTTGTTTGCTAAGGGAAAACCAAGTAAATGCAGATTAAGAATAATGTAATACAGTTCGTGCTGGGTTCTCTTTGTAGGGCAGATCCTGTTCCTGCATGTCTACATACTTAAAAAGAAAACACTCTTCTTCTGAACTTGAGCTGCCTCCCTGCACAACTGAGACATGGAAAGGACAAAACAAAGGCGGTGCTCAGAGTCACAGTGCCCCCAGAACGTCCTCTTACCTGCACGAACACAGCGCTACCCAAATGGTAGCTGGTGCCTGGGTCCTGAGCCGCGCTCAGCGCGCAGCCGAGGTGTCAACGCGGAGTTGTCAGCCCAGACGGGACGAGCTCCGGAGATGGGCGTGCAGGGACAGGAGCACGGGCACAGACACACGCAGACACCCCCTGCGCGCACAGGTTCTCAAGAAGACTTGCTGGTGACAGGGCGGGAATGGACAAAACGCAGCATCTTCTGTTCACCCGTCCCCGTCGGGGTGGGGGAAAACAGAGGGAGAAAGAGAAAAAGAGAGGAGACGAGGAGGAGAGGGGGAGACGGGGAGAGAGAGAGAACAGAGGAAAGAAAGGAGAAAGGAAAGAAAGGAGAAAAGAAAGAAAGGAGAAAAGAAAGAAAGGAGAAAAGAAAGAAAGGAGAAAAGAAAAAAGGAGAAAAGAAAAAAGGAGAAAAGAAAGAAAGGAGAAAAGAAAAAAGGAGAAAAGAAAGAAAGGAGAAAAGAAAGAAAGGAGAAAAGAAAGAAAGGAGAAAAGAAAAAAGGAGAAAAGAAAGAAAGGAGAAAAGAAAGAAAGGAGAAAAGAAAGGAGAAAAAAAAAACCGAGAAAAAAAAAAAAAGAGGAAAGAAAGGAGGAAAAAAGGAGAAAAGAACGGAGGAAAGGAAGGAAGAAAAGAAGAAAGAGAAGAGGAAAGAAACAAAAGAGGAAAGAAAGGAGAAAAGAAAGAAACAAAAAGAGGGAAAAGCCGGGGGGAAAGAGGGGAGGGGAGAGGAGAGGGAAGGACGGGGCCCGAGCAGGATGTGGGGCAGCAGCGGAGCCCGGCGGCAGCGGGAGCCAGGCCGGGCGCCGGGGCGGGAGAGGGGCCGGTCTGCGGCGGCCGCGGGGTTTAAGGAGCGAGGGGAGGGGAAGGGGCTGGGCGGGAGCGCTGCGGGCCCGGGTGCGGAGGGGGCTGGACCCCGGGGTGAGACATGTGGGGTGCGGACACAAGGGGTATATGGAACATCCCGAGCCCCTGCGCTCCATGAGGAGGGGCAGAGACATGGCCCCCCGAGCGGATGGAGAACGGGATGGAGCGGTACGGGGAGGAAATGCCCTTTCTGGTGCAGCAAACAGGTGGCCTCTGCTTTTACCTCCGCCCTGACCTCAGTGTCTAAATAAAAAGCCCTCCGCTGGGATATTTCTGCTGGTATTTCAGCCCTGATTTGTGTACCGGAGCCACTAGTCCTCACCCTCCTCCAGACACAGCCCTCCGTCTCTGCTGTGCACATACCGTACCCTCTCCGCCTTAGGAAGCATTTCCATGGCTGTCCCTGCTGTTTCATCAAGAATGGATGTCCATCAGCATGGGCTGATGTATGGGAGCCAGGATCTAGACCAGGTCATGGAGATGTTCCTGCTAAGATTTTTCCAGTGCAGTGTTGAGGCCTTAAATGTCAGCTCTATGGAGATCAAACACAGCTTTGGTGGCAGGTTATGGTTTTATTGTATCCTGTCTGTCTGCTATATGGTATCAACAGATGCAGAAACTGGTTTCTGTTGGGTTATAGCTCACTCTCCAGCTGAAGGAGCACTGCAGATACCTCCCCACACAGTTTTCAGCTTTCCAAAGGAAAATCATTGACAAAAATCAATCTGCTGTATTCCAAAATTTCTTGGGGAACATGCTTTCACTTTATACATATATATGTATGTGTATGAGTTCAATTTTTAAGGCATGTACACATAATTCCAAAGGTTTGGGGATGGAGAAAATATTGAACATGATTTTTACAAGATTTTTTACATAAATAAAATTAATTTTTAAGATAAATTACTTTAGCATCCCATAGCAGTTACTGATGGGTGGGAGACTGACCTGAACTACATGCTCTTTTACTATTTGTCCTCTCCTACCACATGCCCATTTATGTCTGGCAAGTGCTGGCTCTAAACTAACACATAGGAGGAAGGTCCCACTGCTTCTGTGATCAGGATCATCAGGGACTGTAGCAATAGG